TAAATGTAAGAAAATTTAAAACAACTGCCAAATATTATTCCAATATAAAGTGGGCATCAAACACACTAATACACTATGGATGAAGAATCAACAGCCGAGCACGCATAAAAGAAACGATATTTTTTACAATACAATTATTACACAATAGTAGAGGCACAAAAGTACATTCAAATTGTATATGAGACCCAACAGAACTTCTGATCGGGTTCTTGAGCTATAATAATATCCAAAAGACATGTGGTCATCAAAATAAAGCATATGAAGGTAACTACAAATATTAAAATTAAAAATTGAGCCTTTATCACATCAAACACTTGAGAAATCATTTCCGCGGTTCCAAATAAATCCCTGATTCTGAAAGAGCTAAATCAAATACCCTACTCTACCCTCCTATACAGAGGAACAGAAAATGAACCCAAAGAACAGAGTGATGAGAGAATCTATGGCCAGTTGGAAACACTAAAGAACCATTTTTTAACTGTCAACACTAAAGAACCATATCCAAAGCAGAGTGTATTCATATATAGGCAGCATTGCACTACAACACAAACATTTTCTAGTTATTTCCCTCTCACACTCTAATCTCTACCATGCCAATACTGAAATATACATAGTCTGGGAATCTATCACAAAACAGTACAACAACAACAACGTATCAAGTGTAATCACACAAGAGGGGTACGGGAAGGATGGTGAGCAGCATTATCACTACCTTGTGCACAAAGAGAGGTTGCTTTCTATAAATACAGTCATCACAACAATAACATAAGTAGAGTGTAGGCAGACCTTACCCCAAAACTTCAGAGGTAGAGACGATGTTTCCGATAAACACAGCCATCACAAAACAGTAAATAACAAAAAAAATGAAACATAACTTCAATTTGAGATAAATTGACAAGCTGTGAAATTTGCACACATGTGTACAAATTCAGGCGTTCAGTCATCATATACCGAAGACGTGTTTGATCAGAATCACATAAACATCGAAATCATAATAAACAATGAAAATTGAAACAGCGAAATAAATAATCAATAAATACAGCACGTGACACCACGAAACAAAACAAAATATTATCAAACAGTCATCGAGCAATACAGATTATCAAAACAATCAAACGATAAACAGAGAAAAAGCAAATAGATTGAAAGATAGATAATTTACCCCAAAATTCCATTGCTGATTGAGAAGAAGATAGAAAAAAAAAATCTAGGGTTTTAGCAGAGAGTGAGCAATGGAAGCAATTTAGGGTCCGCAAGTGTTTTAGGTTTATATAAGCGGGAGATTGGAGAGAGGGGGGGAATTTATATATACTCTGTTTATTGTTTCCCATACTACCCTCGTATATATTAAGGGATTGTTTGGTAGCTAGTTTAAATAATATAAAAATTATATTTGAAAATAAAAATTGTCTTTGTATATGAATATAATTTGAAAATTTGTACAATTTTAGAACTTATAGAAGGATCAAAAATCAAATATGTTGAATGTTGAAATTTTTAGATATATGATATATGTTTTGATTGTTCTACCATAATGCACAAGATAATTAGGTGATTATTGATCATGTCAATATTATCAAATGATTTATCATGAATATATTTGAATTTTTGTAGAAGAAAACATGAACTTAAAGTTCAAAAAATAATAAAATGACACAAATTAATTGTCAAGTACATTGTTAATTCAAAGCATATATCATGACGTTCAATTAAATAAATACTAGTTACTACATTTTCAATTGATATTGAAGTAATAGTAATTCATGAATTCAATCGAAAGTGTATATAGTTGAGATCAATAATTCAACATATTTTATAGTCATATAATTTTTTTTAAAAGATGAAAATTCCAGTAATATTGTATGAGAAGATATATACTTGCATAACTCAATTGAAATGAGGTTATATAAAATGATGGGAAAAGGGTCAAAATTAACCCTCAACTTTGGTTTATTGTTTGACTTTACCCTCGCCGTTAAAATGAAGTTAAATTTACCCCTCCCGTTACTAATTTCACCAAAATTACCCCTCATTAAACGAAATCCCCAAAATTGACCCAAATTACCCGAATTTAAAAAAAAAACCTTCCTATTTTTAATCCAATGACCCGACCAGCCCCGACCCCTCTGGAGGATAACTCGGTTGGGATCTTCAAAGAATTTGCAGAGAGTTTTTAGTTGCTTTCAATTATCTAGGTAAGGGGGAGGATGATGACCTTAGCTATCTCACCACATTGGTGAATGCCACCAGCTTGGAGCTTTTGGAGCTCAATACAAATAATTTTGGTGGAGTCTTACCTGCATCTGTTAGTAATCTTTCGACTGAGCTTATAGAGCTTTCGTTGTCTTATAATCAGATTTCTGGAGAAATCTCAAGAGCGATATCTAATCTCAAGAAGCTTCAGTCTTTTTTTGTAGCTTACAACAGATTTCACGGTGAAATTCTTTCTGAAATTGGTGATCTGATATATTTGTAAGAGTTGGCTTTACTTGGAAAGCAGTTCTCTGGAAAAATTCCATTCTCATTGGGAAATTTAGCTTCTTTAACCAAACTCAGTTTAAGAGAAAACAATCTCCAGGGAGAATTCCTTCCAGTTTAGGCAAATGCCACAATTTGGAACTATTGGATCTTATTGGTTCAAATAACCTTAGTGGTTTCATACCATCAGAAATTCTTGAACTCTCATCCTTGTCGGAGGGCGTGGACCTATCTCAGAACCACTTAATTGGTTTCCTTTCGATGGAAATTGGGAAGTTGAGAAATCTAGGCTACTTAAAACCTGTCTGATAACAAGTTGCAGGGCCAGATTCCTACCACTATAGGTACTTGTGTGAAACTTGAAGCACTAGACTTGAACAACTAGACTTGAACAACTTCTTTCAGAGTCTTTGAAGATCCCAACCGGGTTATCCTCTGGAGGGGTCGGGGCAGGTAGGGGAATTGGGTTAAAAATAGGGAATAGGTTTTTTTTTTTTTTTAATTCGGGTCAATTTTGGGGATTCTGTTTAATGAGGGGTAATTTCGGTGAAATTAGTAACGGGAGGGGTAAATTTAACTTCATTTTAACGGCGAGGGTAAAGTCAACTAATAAACCAAAGTTGAGGGGTAATTTTGATCCTTCCTAAAATGATAAAAGATGTATCATGCATGAAATGAAATTAAAAAAATAAATAAATATGAATCAAATATAATTTTTTTTAAAAGGAAAATAATATTTTTAGTTCTTGTGTTATTGCATTATTCGTATTTTGATCCTTATGATATTCTGTTAAGCGCATTTGACCTTCAATTAAGCAATGCGTGTGATTTTAGTTTTTTAATTGTCATCAAATAAATTGACGATCTGTTGAATTGTTGAGGGAAAAATCAGATATTTACATTTTTAGTGCGGTTATACTCCATTAATTATTTATTATAAAATATATTCTAGTTGGATCACGTACTACCGTACTACCATTTTACTTTGCTGATTTGATTCCTCTTTATGTTGCAACACATCATGTTTAATATTAATCTCAAATCTCTCTATAAATGTATCTTTCGAATTTGTTAAAACTAGGACAAAAAATAGATCGAAGTGTGGAACAAATTTGCACCATGTGTGAGAGTTGGTGCCATTGAAGTCATAACACCAACCTTCTATGCAAGATCCAAAAGAAAGAGAAGAAGAAATGGAGATTAGCCCTATGTGGATAATTAGGAGGAAATCATTAACAAATGACTGAAGATTCTTGTCATTCAAAATTAATTTTATCTAAAAAAAAAAGTGAATGAGAAGAATCAAAAAGACAATCATAACAACAAGCATTTGTTTTTTCTTGAGAAATGATAATAATTAATAGAACGAAAAATATTATTGAGGAAGACAATAAGTTGATAGATACTGGATAAATAATATGCAAAAATAGAATATTTTTTTAAGTGTATGGAATAAAAGCACACATGAAATACCTGACTTGCCCTCTACAATTTAACATATCATTATTTTATTTGCCATCAGTTAGTTGAAGGACTATAATCACACACATTGATTTATAGGTCAAATACGCTTAATCGAATATCACGAGGATTTAAATAGGAACAATGCAATAACATAAGGACTAGAAATATTATCTTCCATTAAAAAAGATTTAGAAAAAATTCTAATAAAATAATTTTTTTTAAAAAAAATATCGTGAATGAAAAGTTAAAATCTATGACAATTTCAACAAGATAATTAGGTTGATATAATATGAAGTTATACCAATTTGTCATGCTTTGTAATTTGAAATCACGATGATCCAATATAATTTAAGCATTATAACGTATATTACATTGAATTTAACATGAAATCCTATTGCCTAAAATAACATGCATGTCACATTTATAAAATATGTTTTTGTTTGTTTGTTTACTTGTAACATTGAAATCATAATTTTTTTTTGTATAAATTGTGAATATTTCAACATGACAATTAGGTTGAATATAACATAAAATCATATCAATTTGACTTTTTACTGTTTATTAATTAAATTCATTTTCTATTATTAATATCAATCAACTTTAGAGTATCCTTGTTAAGAAAAGTCATTAAATTTTAAAAAGTCGTTTTCCTCCAAATATTAAAACAAAAGATAGTATCTGATTTTAGTTTTTAATAACACCACATAAGTATTCTTTAGTACAAATCACCCCCAATAGATTTAACATTTTTGAATTTTTTTTATTCCTAATAAAGATATGATAAAAATTATTTAGGCCAAATAAGATTAAAAAAACACATGACAGCATGTCTAAACATTTTTAAATTTTGTGATTTTAAACCAGATTAAAAGTTACTTGGAGTAGCTTTTTTAAACAAATAAAAAAAGTAAGATCAATAAATTGATATAAACGGAGTATTTTTTATTATTAAATTATAATTTAATTTACAATAATAAATTATTGTATTTAATGTAATCCCGCACGTTTGGATTTGGAGTAAATAAATACAACAGTTACCCACGTTTTTATTCATCGGAATTCGGCCTAAAAGCAACTTCAGTCTGAAAAGGGGGAAGTTGGGGACTGAGATTGTCCCTATGGTATTTGTATCTGGTCATAATTCACCGGCATATTCCGATCGCCGGACGACGAAAAGCCATCCATTTTCCTCCATCTCCGGCAACTGGATGACTTCTAGAAAGAGAATAAATCAAGTAGTTCGAGCTGCAATTTGCTAAAATCAGAGTTTGGTAGGGTTTAATTTGACTTTGATATTGTTAGGATTCTCCATGGAAGTACCTGGTAGACGTTCGAATTATGCAATGTTACAGCAGCAACCGCCATACGATGAGTTTAATTCAGATGAGAAGAGCAATAGTAGAAGTGATAAGGGATTATATTGGGACTTGATTGATCGCCGAATAGGTACGACGCCGTTTCAAGCCTCGATTGTGTTACCGACGCAGTCAAGTGAGGGTAGCTTTGCTGAAAGTTCAATTTCTGGAGTTTCATTTGGGCATATGAATGCTAATTCAGGTGGTGGAGGTTCGTTGTCCAAAAGTTGGGCTCAACAGACTGAGGAGAGCTACCAGCTGCAGTTAACGTTAGCTCTGAGGATCTCTACTGAAGCAACCTGCGCTGATGATCCCAATTTGTTGGATTATGTGCCAGATGAATCAGTATCCCATGCTTCAGCTTCATCTGCATCAGTGGAGGCAATGTCTCATCGATTCTGGGTATGTATTGTATTCTATTTTGTTGATTTTTCTCTATTTTTGTTCTGTTAGTATATCATTCCTTAAATTTCAATATGAGATTGTGTGCTAAAACAGTGTGAAGTTCGGCATATCAGGTTCTGTTTTGTAGTAAGAACAATTTCACCAATACATATTTGATAAGACATAGAGGAATAGTAGATATTAGTTCAGGTTAAGCCTCTATGACTTGTCACAATTAAAGGTAGTACAACTCAAGATGTGGTACGTACACATTATAACTTTGAATTGTCAACCAAGTCTAGTATTTATTGGAGAAAGGTAGGGGGTCCATTATCCACCAAGTTTCGGAGATAGAAGCATTAAGTTCTAAGTATAGAGAATGGAATATTAGTTTAGATTGCAGATGTTCCCATGCTTAGATGACAGTTGATTATGTCGGTGAAGGGGACTGACGTTCTATGTAATGAACTCGTATTGTATTGAAATGGATAATTGGAATTACGTGTACAATTATAAGAGTTCATCATTCTAATTACTCCAAACTAGTAGCAAACCCTTCCAAGGGAAGAAGTAGAAATAAAAAGGAAGTATGGAGGGAGGTTCCAGAGTAATTTAAGCAACTAAGAAATAAGAGACAAGTTCATAGCATCAACCCTAATTGATTATTTCCCTCTTCTATATATAGGCATCTTTCCGGGGTCCCAAATGTAATATGACATCTTATTACATGGGTCCTCCATCTTAGTTATATTCATAACAATTCTCCCCTCCTCAATAAGAACCTTGTCCTCAAGGTTCGAGTATAGTTGTAATGAGACCACAGTGTTGTCTTGTTCCTCTTTATCAGTGTTAACAACCCAAAGGAGTTCTTTAGACGCTTCATTATCCAAAGCAACATTCAACAACGATCCTTTGTTTTGCTTTTTAAACCAGAGGATGTATCCATGTCCAACAAGATTAACATCAAAGAGTTTCTTGGGAGATGAAGATGGCGGGACTAAAGTACCAACATTGAACACCTTATGGAGCTTTGATCTGAGAGCATTGAAAATTGTTGGATCCAACTCCTCTAAAACATTAAGAATTGATGGCGTTGGCATTTGTAAGGTCTTTGTAGTCCAAAAAACACTCCTGGGGACAGCCACTTTCTCAACCAGTTTGAACAAAATCCTTCCAGCACCTAACACAAAACCAACTTCCAATAGCATATATTCATTAGGGGATAACTCTTCTACAGATGTAACCAACACAGCATATCTCGCCCCAATTTCAGAAGCATCCTACAGACACTTGATCGTGTGTACTGTGTAGAGAGCAAGACCACATCTTTAGTCCATTGGAAGCCCCACCAGTTTTCCATAACATTTCATAGAACACATTTGGAGCAATTTTTGGACAATATCCAGCCAACAAATTTCCAACGCATTATTTGGGCCTTCCTTCTTGTTATTTATTGCCTGCAACTCACTTTTGACAAAATCAGCTGCTGCACAAATATGCGAAAAGATTGCTTCTTGTAGCATTTTTATAATCTCCATATGCTCACTGACTGCAACAATTGTTTTGTCAATATCCTCAATAATCGGTGCCTTCAGCGTGACTTCCCTTGTAGCTGCTGCAGTTTCCAAAACATCAATAATAGTGTTTGTCGTGGTGTTTGCACCTTCTAACAGTAACATTTGATCGAGGAGAGGCAAATGGAAATTTTCAAGCTGGTCAACTTGCTGTTCATAGAGCATTTGCTTTCGTAAATATGGTATAGTAGTTCTTTTGTTTTGTTCACTGGTAAAATCTTCCGCTCTTTCAACCTCAGGAGCAACCTTTTTAAATAAAACTGCCTTTTTCGCAAGCACCTCAAGCATCATTCTAGCTTGGATCCAATAATGATCAAACCTGTGAATTGGAAACTTGTTGTCAGAAAAGATGTGGCTGCTCCTTTTTTAAACTGGTTGTAATTGGATATTCTAATGGCATTAACCCACAAAAGAGTCGAATACAAATCTCAAGGATGATCCATAAGACTATTACTGAGCAGTCGTCAACCCATACCACAATTGAATGACCACTAGACAAATGAAGACACTGGTTAAAATCAGTAGGTAAAGCTGATCCAGAAACACCACCGTTCCATTTCTCAGATTGAGGGCCATCATTCAGAACACCATGGATAAAGCTTATACCAGAATTCATGTTTACACCAGCTCTCTGATCTAAATCGTTGCTGCAAAATCGTTTGGGATTCTCCAAATGTCCAAATACTGTTCTTGTACATTGGTTTTTCTCAAAAATATGCAACTTTGGTCAGCATAAAAGACAATAAGCCCAGGCCAATTGCCACTTTGCAGAACATCTGTTGTTAGATTGATCTCGACATTAGAGTTATACGGTACCACAAATAAACAGGCACCTCTCCTGTGGCATTTAGCTGCTCCAACAACCCAAGCACAGTATAACTATTGTCGCCATGTGAGAAAGCAACATCAGTGTATGGCTGCCAGGACAAGTTGAAGTTGCGAAAGTTGAGGTACTGGTGGAAGTCATATGCATTGATATACTTCTCTAATGCACTGGGTGAAACAGCCCCGACAACATGGTTAGCAGATGTGCAAGGATATTCAATATGTCTAACACTTCTAATATCTTCACACATGTCACAAAAGAAAATGGCAACATCATGTGTGACATATACACCAGGATTAAATGAAAGTTGTAAGCATTTAATCTTATGAAGCAATGTGATTCTATCTATAATCATAATGTCACTCCCAGATTCAGTGTACGGTCTAGTTGAGTCAAGATTAAAAGAGTATGCATATTTATACATGTCTGACATATCAGCAAACACCTTATGTGTAGTGGTCACTGAAGATACATCACATACATCTGAAGCATCGTCCACACTCAGAAGTGTTTCGCCTTTCGAATAACCAAAAAGTAGAACTCGGTTGACTGAATACACACTCGAGTTTACCTTATCAAAGCAAGCCCAGAAAACCTGCCCAGTATCACACCAATTGCAAATGTGTAAACACAAAGCATGTGGAAGCGAACCAATAGTTGTATGAGGGCCAAGAAGTGTTGCAAAAGTATCCCTCTCCGGCTTTATATCAAACACCTTGCGTCCAAACACCATGTCAAGCTTATGTTCTTGGCCTTCAAGTAGAAAACTTGGTAGCTTAACTGAGAATATCGAAGGTGCAGATGCAAGTTGGGATGTGACAATAAAAGCACTGGAGATATCATCGAGGCTCACCGATTTTGGTATTGTATCCCCAGCTTAACTAACGTGAAGTTATGAATCCAGATGTGGGTTCACCATGTCTGTTTCCTCTGTTTTGTCACCCAAATCAGAATTCAACTCAGAGGAAGGGGAGATTGTATTTGAAATCACCACAGATTCAACAGATAAATTCTCAGCGAAAGCAAAGTGCTCAACCTCATCAGGCACAACACAATCTTGTCCAACAAGAGCTAGTAGTGCTTCATCTTTTGCAATCTGGCTACACATATCAACTTCAGTTCTTTGCGGATTTCGTCAAACTCCAGCACTGCAGTCATGTCTGAGTAAACATGTACTGAAACTGGAATTTTTAGATTAGTCTCCTCATCTGTAAATTCAGCGAGTATAATAGACTCATAATTCAAGTCCTGCAAGAAGGAATGATCTGAAACTGAAGGTGGAAAAGGGGGGTTTGGAGGTGGAGCCGAAAACAGAGGTTGTTGAAATGGGAGCGCTGGAGGAGGAAATAAAGCCAATGGAAATTCTGTTGGAACATTGCTGGTCACCCAATTGGTAGAGGAGGAACAATGAAAGGACCAATGTAATGAACTTGTATTGTATTGAAATGGATAATTGGAATTACACGTACAATTATAAGAGTTCATCATTCTAATTACTCCAAACTAGTAGCAAATCCTTCCAAGGGAAGAAGTAGAAATAAAAAGGAAGAATGGAGGGAGGTTCCAGATTAATCTAAGCAACTAAGAAATAAGAGACAAGTTCATAGCATCAACCCTAATTGATTATTTCCCTCTTCTATATATAGGCATCATCCGGGGTCCCAAATGTAATTTGACATCTTATCACATGGGTCCTCCATCTTAGTTATGTTCATAACATTCTAACTGCTGGATCTTTCTCAATACTATTGAAAGCTGATATCTTCTGTATTATCATGACATCCTAATTTCTATCGAAAGTGTTAAAACAAATGTCAAGTAATATAGAAGTTGAGGATGAAAAGAATGCTTTTAGATTTTGTTGAGTTTTTTGGTCTCTCAAGGATGCCTGAGTCCTTAACTACTCTATAAATGCTATACTTAGTTGTGCAAAGGATGTCTGTACTATATTGTGCCCTAATGTATTGGAAATTTTCAGCCTTTTACGTAGTTGCATGATCAAAGTGAATGTAATGGAAATTTTCAGCCTTTCCTTACGTAGCTGCATGATCAATGTGAAATAAATTTCCTGTCAAAATCAGGTTAGAGCAACAATCTAATTCTTGATTGAAAAGGAAAAGAAGACATGTGAGATTTACTGTATCTGTGGTATAACTTATACTGTTGTCTAAGTACACTTGACGGATGTGCAGCTTAAGTATGATAATCATGAGGACTTGTTTGCTCAACTTTACCTGTCACACTTGTAACTGTCATATTTACGTTATGGCATAACTCGCTTGTTGGATGTGGTGCTCCCAAATACATGACCTTTCTGAAAAGCTGTGATGAGTGGTTACCTATGTATCTAATATTAATACGCCTACCTATTTGGTTGTATAATTGTATAGTAAGGGTATTTAAGTTTTTTCTCAGAACAGTAAATGTATTGAAGTTAAGGCCCAATCACTGTTTCCAATTCATTGTATCAATATATTAGGTACCAAGTACAACTACCTAGAAGATTCCCTTATTGACCAATACTCAATAGGATGTTCGAAGTAGTCTCTGGATACTTTGTTAAACTTCAGTTTGTTGCTGGATTAGTAAAAATGACTCCAAGATACATTGCATTCAACCAACACAACCATATAATATCCAAAGGCAATACTAGAACTGCATGAAATTAGTTAAAATTTAATTCACGCTCCTTCGCAAAAGTGATATCCATTTAATTGACAAGAAATTCAAGTTACTATTGTATACTTGTATGTTCTTACAATCAAAACGGTTCTCAAAGTAGAGATAAAATTAATCTTTCTCAAGTTTAAACCTTTATTAGTATTAAAGTAGATCCCATGTTACCTTATTTTAAAATTTTGGAGTAGTATTGTAGCATTAGACAAAGGGATAATCCTCTAGAAAGTGCATGCGGTTTTAGGAGAAAGACATAATAGAAAAGATATTCTTTTTAGCATAGAGGAGAAAATTGCAGCATGAGATATTGGTTATCAATTGAGGTTATTTTCTATCTGAATAGAAGTTTCAATATGACTATGGCCTTATATTATCATTGTTTCTAATGTTATGTTCTTATAATATCTCGTCTATATTTTCGATTAGCCGGGTTATACAGTCCCAGACCTCCTGGTTTTCATACCTAAAAGATATTTCTTCATTCCATCTTATGCTGTACCAGGTAAATGGGAGCTTATCATACTTTGACAAAGTCCCCGATGGATTTTACTTGATTCAGGGGATGGATCCATATATCTGGACACTCTGCTCAGATCTGCAAGAAAGTGGTCGTATCCCATCAATTGAATCCCTGAAGGCTGTTGATCCCTCTGTAGTACCATCAGTTGAAGTGATTTTGATTGATCGGCGAAGTGATCCCAGGTTAAAGGAACTACAAAATCAAATTCATAGCATGTACCGTAGTTGCAACACCACAAAAGAGGTGGTTGATCAGCTTGCAAAGTTGATCTGCAATCACATGGGGTAAGTTTTAAAAATGTTTTTCTGAGAAACCCCAATGGTTTTTTTTTTTGGTTCTTTCAGCGATTAATTTTTATTCCCTTTATAAGAGGCGCAGCTTCTGTCGGAGAAGGTGACTTCATTCCTATCTGGAAGGAGTGCTGTAATGACCTGAAGAATTGTATAGGATCCATTGTGTTTCCCATTGGTAGCCTTTCTGTTGGCCTTTGTGGACATCGCGCATTGCTGTTTAAAGTATGTTGTTACTGTGTTACACTGAAATTATTGCCTGTTTGCTGTTTTGTGAGTCAGCTATCTAACTCTAAAGTTAATTTGGACATACTTGTACCCACTAATGGTTTACTATTGGAAAACCACAATTTCTTACTAATCATGTAAAGTATTTTGGATTTACTCTGCCCTTGAAGTAAAATGAAATGCCATCAAGAAGTTCCTTTCATTGGGTTGCTTATGCAAGTTTGATGACTATCATTAACTTCAAATGTGATGATTGTAGGTTCTGGCGGACATCATTGATTTACCATGTCGAATTGCCAGAGGATGTAAATATTGTAAAAGATCCGATGCTTTCTCATGTCTAGTTCGATTTGGCCTTGACAGGTGTGCATCCAGATAACATATGGCATATGTTTCCATTTCAAGTTCATTAAAGAGAAATCATAGAACTTACCCATTAAGAACAGAAGGGGAAGGAAACTTTAATTCACTTTTTGAATTCCTTTGTATAGATAAGTATCATTTCAAAGAACATGTTTCTGCAAGATATTGGAAGTCTTAATGGATAGCAATTGGTGTTGCAAGATATTATTCTCTACTTGGTATCTGATCTTCAAAATTACCTACCTATATTATTCATCATGTGTAATTAATATGCTGTCAATTGTATTTGCCAAAAAATTGTATTTACCAAAAAATGTAGTTGGTGTCTTGTATATGATACAGTCACTTCCATTTGATTTATCACTAATAGCATTTTCTGTATGATGGGGTCGACTTTCATTTACATCATCACTAGTTATTTATGCTTACTCTAGAATATGTAAAGCTGGTTTTGTGAAGAATAGGAAGTACAAATTGCATGGATCTGGTAAAATGACCATGGTGAAGTTTTGTATTATGTTCAGTTCCCTTTGCAGAAGGATGCGAAACATAGAATTAAAGATTTGTTTTCATTAAAATTTAGACGTTTGAATCTGAATGATAAAGATGTTGTCTCAAGATCTAAACACTGAATGATTAAGATTGTTTGTTTTTCAATATCTGAATGTACATAATAAAAATACAATTCAAATAAAAATTAATAAAATAAAATTATTACTTGATTCAAAAAATGAAACACTTATGCTTGCTAGTGATGGTGGAGATAGTTTGTAGTGGTGGTGGTGATGGTACTAGTTATGGTTAGTGGCTTGCAATGATGGTGGTGATAGTTGTGACGGTGGAGGTGGTTGGTGTTGTGGTGTCAATCATAATGGTGGTGATTGTAATGGTGAAGTTGGTTGATGTTTGTAGTTGGTGGTGGTGACGGAAGAATGTGTGATCGTTGATAATGTGTTTGTGGTAGTTGACAGAGGTGTTAGTAGTTATGATGGAGCCTGGAGGTTTTGGTTGTAAAGACTGATCATAATGGTGGTAGTAGCTGATAGAAGTGGTGGAGGTGGTGACTAAAGAATGTATGGTGGTAGTTGGCGGCAGTGCTAGTTGTGATGGTGGAGTTTGTTGGTAGTATGAATTGACCACTAATGGCGGGGGAGGTGGCGTCGGCTACAGAGATGGGCGTGGTGGTGGCAATTGATATAATTATAATGATGAAGGAGATAAGGGTGGTAGCAGCTGACAGTAGTGGTTAGCAACAGTGGTGGTTGTGATGGCAGAGGTGATGGGTGGTAGACGATGGTAATGGTGGTGGTGGTCATGGTTGTGATGGAAGAGGTGGTTAGTGGTGGTGGCTGGTGATTGTAAATAGAATGATGGTGAATATTATCTACACAAGAATACCTCTTAATGATGTTAAAACTGTTTCTAGATCTTAATGATTAAGACCTATTTAGACCAATAAGTGCTTCAAATCTTAATGAAAACAAATGCACTTAATGGTCTTATGTCTGAACCATCCAGGTTTTGCAATTCAGATGGTTGAGTGAGAATGGTGGTTGATTTAAAGCACACTGAGATTGAAATCTCAACTTTATGACATTGACTTTGTTTTTACTTTATACTGTCTTAATCATTTGATTTAAGATTTACAATTTCAATCCAAAGAAACATCCTTCTTTTCATCCGCTCAGGCTCCAAAAAAAGGAAAAACTGAAAATCGTGGCAAAATTAAAAATAAAAATAACAAGAAATCTGATGAAGTCAGTGTGGTGAACAGCAGGATTATGTTTTTCTGAATGCTATAACTTTGATGAATGTGAAGAAATTACTGTCTGCTTTATCTGTTGAATTCTTCTGCTAGACAGGTCTCGGTACACTTCTATAATCACACACAGATATATTGGTTTGAAGTACGCCAATCATTTTTGTGCATTTGGATAGCTTCATATTTATTTATGGACATAAGAATTATTTATGTTAAGAATAAGTACATAAGCATTGACACAAAGCAAATGCACCATACAGGGAATACTTGGTTGATTTGATTCGGGATCCAGGATGTTTATCTGAACCAAATTCATTGCTCAATGGTCCATCTTCCATCTCGATTTCTTCACCATTGCGCCTTCCGAGATTTGGACAAGTTGAACCTGCCATGGATTTCACGTCATTGGCCAAACAGTATTTTTCGGATTGTCTATCACTTAATCTGGTCTTTGATGATTCTTCAGCAGGTATTGTCCCCCCCCCTCACTCTCCCAACCCCAACAAAAAAAAAAGATAAAGAAGAAAACCCTTAGCAGGTGATCCTTTGATGGCCTCTTGCCTACACAAACATACATATTAATCTTCTATGCTCATCTGGGTTGTTGTGAACACTTATCATTTTCCGAATGTTGAGCTAGCCCTTTGCCATGATAATATGATATGATAAGAGATTTAGAGATATTTGGGGTCACAAAAATGGATTCAATTAAATGTTGCACTTGCAGCTTTTCAACATCCAGAAAAATTGTCTCGTATCCGAACATATATACCCTTAAACTTGTAACATCCCTGTAATTTTTGGTGGTACATATATGTACTTTATTATTTGGGAATAGCAGTCCTTCAAATTGCTTCATAGTCTTATTCCAATAATGCATACCCAACAGATAATTTTACCCATGTTCACCTGCAATCCAGAGTTCAATAGTTGTCACCTGCTTTCTTACTGAAGGGCATTAAACAGGAATGAAGATGATAACTTGCTTACATTGCTCTAGAGAGTAATCTTTAAACCCTTTTCTTTTTGTAGAAGTTCCTTTGTTTCCTTGTGGAGCCTACAATGGCCTGTTCCTCAATGTTCAAATCAGTTTCCCTGTATTTATCAAAATTACTGAGGTCTCTGGAGAGATTCAGCCTTGGTATAGTCAAATAATGTTCCTTAAAGTTCAAGTCAGTTCCCCTGTGTTCATCAAAATTACTGAGGTCCACAACAAGGGATTGAACTGAATGGTGCTCATAGTGACATCATACTACTCCATTCTTTTTTCCTGGATCCAGTGTTCTGAATGGCGAGCGCCATTCGCCAAAGGCGCTATGGCGAGGCGAGGCGAGCCTATTTCGCCATTTTACAGTGTGGCGCGGCGATCCCAAATAGGCGACGTAAGGCGCAAAGAAGGCGACGTAAATGGCGGCGCCTTTTTGTTTTTTAATTTTTAAAAAGATCTGACTTAATAATATTAGTCAAAATTAGGGTTTTTTTCTATTTCCAAACTTTCATCAGTCGCGTTTCTTCTCCTCGCGATCTCTTCTCCTCCTTCAGTCGCACAAGTTGCTGCTCCTCTTCTCTTCCGTCAGTCGCGCGAGTTGCTGCCAGGTAAGAGTATGACCTCTTTTTTTTCTTCTTCTTTTCTGTTGTTGTTCTTCTTCTTCTTCAGTTCTCTTCTTCTTCTCTTCGTTTCTTCTCTTTAGTCCTCTTCTTCGTTTCTTTTTCTTCTTCTTTTTGAGATACTACTGCTTGCTGCCTTCACTGCTCTGTTTTTTTTCCTCTGTTTTTATTATTCACTGTCACTGCTGAATGCTACTGCTTGCTGTCTATTATTTTAAAAATAAATAAATTAATTCTTCTATAATGAATTGAAATATTTGCTAATATATGTTATTGATATTGAGATTTTGGATATATTTATATGCAATTAAATATTTTTAATTTTTGGTATTAATTGGCGCCTCGAATCAAAAAGGCGAGTGCCTCGCCGCGTGGCGAGGCAGGCCCTTGTCGCCTTTCGCCGTCCAAAACACTGCCTGGATCACATGTTATCTTTTTGGATAGAGCGGATTTGTGCTAAAAAGGCACTTAGGCTTCTTTCTCTCTCCGACCTTCATACTGTTGCTCCTCCTAAGAAATTTAAGCATTCTTTGACTATAACAAAGCTGAATCTCTCCAGAGAATTCATTGGTTTCCAATCCCTCCAAAATAAAATTCCAGTGAAAATTAAGATTTTTTTGCTGCTCCTCTCTTCATTTTCCAGTACTACGCATTGCTTAAACCCTGAAACTTGGTGAAGCCCAGGTTGGACACTTCACCTAACTTCGGCAGCACTTCAGTGCAGGCACCAAGGTATACACCTCATCACTTGGGGGGGGGGGCTAATTTTAATAGGTATCAGTAGGCAGTAAAATTGGTTAACCAAATTTTATGAAAGAATCAGAGTGTAGGAATAAGAAATTAGAAATTTTGTATTATAAAACAAGCAGTGGAAATCTAAAACTGCATCTTTACTTTTAAAATATAAATTTAAAGTAGCTTTCTTAACATGAAAACCTCATAGGTTATGCTTAATTCATTTAATTATACTTTTATCTGCTCTTTGGCTAGATAATTATAGTTAATTTTTATATATTATTATTATTATTAGTATTAAATTTGTAGTTTCTACTTTTTCTTCGTTTTTTTGTTTTCCGCCCAAAAACCCATTCTTTTATTGCGCTTTGTGGTTGAAGTCCAAGTAGACCTTGACGCTATCATAATCGTTTCGGCTTTGATGACTCTGTTACTCCAACAGATTAGCATCTAATCATGGATGAGTTTGTTTCAGCATAGTACTAACCAGAAAAAAGACTAAGCTCAACAGTTCTGTGGTACCAAGAAAGTCTAAACCTACACTGTTCAGCTTTGACGGTTTTCCATCATCTCGGCATCTATTTTCTTTGTCCTCTTTTGTCTTTGAATTTTTCTCTGTTTTGATTAATGATCTAAAGGCCTGATATTTGATACTGACTTCTTGGATGAAAATAATATGTTAAAAATGAACAAACGAGATCGTAGATAAAATGTCGACACAATTGTAAGTACAATTTTTAAAAATACTACCTCTGAGTGTTATACCTATTAGGTTTCTTTTAAATAATAGTATTTCATATCTTTCTAGAGGAGCTCCTAATATGTAAAAACAAGTTGAATAACAGTAGCTCCCCGCGATGAAGCTACAAGGATCTAGTATGATTTAATTGTTCATCATTTTAGCTAGTCTATATTTGAGCCTAGAGTGTCCAGACCAAGGAAAGTATATTCAACCTTATCTTGTTTGCAAATAAATTGCCACTCTCGTTTGCAAACCGATCCCCTTCTGTTTTATTGGTGACATTTATATCAATTAGTTTTGTTTTTGGGTTTCATAATTCATTGTTTGGTGCAGGAACTGCAGTTGATGGGGATGCTGGACAAACGGACAGAAGTTCCATGGATAGAAGCAGTGCAGTTCTTAGTTCAAACAATCGTGATGAAGTTTCACGGTTACCTCTGCCTCCAATAAATGCATGGAATAAGGGATGTGATAAAGGCTCTCAACTTCCTGCATTATATTACCCTCCAAATACGTCTACCTCAATGCGCCAGGAAGAGGATTTGATTCATTTGAAAAACGTCCCTCCAATTAGGTATGGAGATGCTCAACTGATTGCAATATCTGAGGCAAGGACAGATACCATTAATGACCAGAGGTACTTTGAGGGAGGGAGACTTGCTCCTGCTAAACCAAGTCGAGAACTTGTTCTTGATGTAGAAGATCTGGTTATTCCCTGGAATGATCTGGTTCTGAAGGAGAGAATTGGGGCAGGTAATCCCAGTCTGCTGGTTTCTAGCTACTTTCATAGTGTTAGCTCTGTGTTTATTTTGCTGTATGTCAATAATATTAGGATACAGTAGTATCATGACATCCAAAACTAGTCTAGCTTACACTGTTTTGTTGTATTTGCAGGGTCTTTTGGTACTGTTCACCGTGCTGACTGGAATGGCTCTGTAAGAAAATTGCCCATTTAGTTCCGAGTGTTTGAAGCATATTCCACCTGTATCTCTCTCGAATTATTTTCAACCAACTATGCCTCAATTCCGAAATAGTTGGGTTTGGCTCTATGTATCCTTTATGTCCACCAATTTCATTCTGTTTATTTTTTAGGTAAACTAGGGGTTCTTTAAATCTCAGTTTCATCCCTATGTTGTCATTCAGATTTCTATCCAAATTGGAGAACACTATCATTCAAATTTCTAACCAAACCTAAAAGACTCCTAATATAAGTGCAAATTTCGAGCCCCTAATTTCAACTAATTGGTAATCACCTGTACGGATCCTTTGCTTCCATTGTGTTTTTTCAGCTAGATCCTGATTCATCACAAAACTATTTATTTTGCACTTTTGAAATGCATTTGAACTTTTAGGAGCAGATTTCAGGATTTATTTTTTTTCTATCTAAACATGGTAGCTATGAAGCCTCCTTTAAGAATTATATTGCTTTATGGGGTGGGTGGGGCAGCGTTCATTTTGTCAAATTAGAGATGTGAATTTTATCAAAGATCCTATTTCACTGGTTTCCTTCCTAATTGCATTCTCATGGAAGTTTGTATTTTCTAGGATGTTGCTGTGAAAATTCTCATGGAACAGGATTTTCATGCAGAGCGATACAAGGAATTTTTGCAAGAGGTCAGTCTGGGGCTCCTCTCCTCACTAATAAGTTGAAATAACATAAAAGAGAAAGGAGAGATGGGTGTATAAAGATGAGGATCAGTGGATCTCAAATTATCATTTGTTTTTCCTCTTCCATTCTTCTGTTTTAGTTTCCATTTGGTTGGTGCAGGTTTCAATTATGAAGCGGTTGCGACATCCAAATATTGTGCTTTTCATGGGTGCTGTTACTGAGCCACCAAACTTGTCTATAGTTACAGAATATTTATCAAGGTTGTGACCTGATCTACCTTTAGATGAATACACAAAGTGTTATGCTTTTACTTTTGTTTTTTCTGACTGGTCATATGCCATTCTGTATTTCAGAGGTAGCTTATATAGGCTTCTTCATAAACCTGGTGCGAGAGAGGTTTTGGATGAAAGGCGTCGGTTGTGTATGGCTTATGATGTGGTATGAATAAGTATCTCTCTGCTCCCCCTTCTCTTATAAATTTTACTTTTTAATGTATCTAATGTCTTTTATCATCTTGTGCAGGCAAAGGGGATGAATTATCTTCACAAACGCAAACCACCCGTTGTTCACCGTGATTTAAAATCTCCAAATCTTCTGGTGGATAAAAAATATACAGTGAAGGTGAGACTGAGAACCTCTTTAGCCTGCACAAAAGTGCCATGCCTCCAGTTGATATCTTCTCAAACTGGGGCTGTCCAAGTAGTGGTCTAATCTGTGGGGTCCTTATGGGACATTTTTTTCTAGTTTGAGACGCGTCTTCCTTGCCAATCTCTGTTTATTAAGGTGGCATACGAAACTTACATTTCATGGCTCAACAGGTAGGGAGTGAACTTTGTAGCTTCAGAATCTTTTAACTAAGTGAAGACTGGACTTGGTAGTTTCAAAATATTGACATCAGATTTCTAAAATGATGGAGAGTTAAAATTTGCAATCCATGTAGAACACTAGGGAAGTGTTTTGTTTTTCCAACTATCCTTGTTAAAATATTTTGGAAAACATTTTCTCTAGAAAAACAAGTTTCTTATATAGCAGAAAAATGACTTCCCTAGTGGGAGTAGGGAAAATACAAGTTCTGTATGTGGCCCCATATGCTGACTGTCTCCTACCACCTCACACCCCACCACCCCCACCGCCATATTGTTTGCCTTGGAATCATATTTTCTGCTTACTTATCAAACATCATAAAATAAGTAAGAAAACTACTTATTTTCCCGAAAATAAGTTTTCATGAAATTTTTTTCCGTAAAAACATTTTCCTTAATACCAAATACACACTAAATTCTAATTGACCAAACTTTTTAAAAAACAGAGCATAATCTTGGAGATTCCTTCTAAATGGAAAATCATTATGCCGTGCTGTATGTTTGGGTTCATAGTGTTTCTTATTATTTATAGACATTGATATCTGGATGGCTGGTTGGAATAGGCGTATGTATAATTATAAAATGTCTTGTCCTCCCCCGCCCCCCTTCTCTCCTATCATCTTATTCAATCAGTTCCTGCCCTATTCTAAAAAGATTTATATGATACCTCTGTCCTATATCTTCAGAAGTATGTCTTTGCATCCTCTTCCTTGTTGTTAAGTTGGATCAAATGTGAAATATCTGAAATCTTGATCATCTAATTTGACTTGCCAGATCTGACTGAGAACATGTTTGTCTGGTTTCATACAATTCGAACAACAGAAAGAAAAGAGATACATTTTGATATGCCTCATCTGCATGTCTTTAATGCATGCCATGCATGTGATCTTTAAAAGAGTTTGTTCTTTGTAGCTTATTCATAAAAAAATTAATCTGGTTTCAAACAATATAAACAACAGAAAGAAAAGAGATACATTTTGACATGCATCATCTTCAGCTTGTGCACACCTCGACTAATGTCACGGGATACCTCTAGGTAACTCTGTCCACCAAGGCTAGGACAGGTGGAAAGGAATCACCTAATATGTCTGCTGGGATTTGAACTTGAGACCCCGTGGTTCTCAACCCACTTCATTGACCACTAGGCCACACCCTTGGGGTTAGCTTTATGCATAGATGTAATATGACCATCTCTTGTGCTCCCCTCATGTCTAGTTGTCTTGGTGTTTCATGATGACAAGAATGGAGCATGGCCAACGTTACATTTGACTGACTGAACACTCACAAAACTTGGTTATCTTGCTCGAAATTGGCAATGGTTTACCGCTAACAGAAGCACTTCATGTTAATACTATATACTTTTGTGTGTATTGAAATTATTCTGTCTACAAATGGTATTACATGTGCCACTCCTGTTGAATGTCTTTTTCAGGTCTGTGATTTTGGTCTTTCTCGATTAAAAGCTAATACATTTTTGTCATCAAAGTCAGCTGCCGGGACTGTAAGTTCTACATCTGGTGCTTTATCTTTTGTCAATATTTGGCATTGGTGATTACTAAAAGAAAAGGAATAAATATGATTTGGTACTTATCATAATAGCCAGAATGGATGGCACCTGAAGTTCTCCGTGATGAGCTGTCAAATGAGAAATCTGATATATACAGCTTTGGTGTCATCTTGTGGGAGCTGGCAACATTGCAACAACCTTGGAGTAATTTGAACCCACCACAGGTTTGTATTTTGTAATTTTGAAGTATTTCTAGTCATGGGAAAGGTTACCTAATGAATACGATCCGAGGGGACTGGGTAATATATCAAGTGAAAGGACCTTAAGCTCTCTCTTGGAATGTTAAAATATATTGATCTGGGGATTGCTATTATTAGGGAGAAGGGCAATTTCCAGTTTGGTGTCAGCAATTGCATGAAAAGGGTCGTTTTATTCCTCTTATGTTAGTACCTCTTCTTAACTGGTCTATATAGGAAGCTTCATTAAAAGAACATGGTTTATGTAGAAAACTAATCATTCATGCGGCAGTGAATAGGAAAGTCACAGGGATTCTCCTTTCCATTGCTATGGGTTTAGGTTGTTCTATTATGTTGTTGATCTCTTCACAGATTGTATCACAGCACTGCAAAAGCAAACAAATTTGGATTGAAACTGTACCTGCAGTAGGGGGAGGACATCATATAACTCTCTTTGTTAAGTTGCTTTCATTACTAACATTTCATTTTTTTCGGAAAGCTAGGAATGGAATGGAAACAACTGAAAGATTGTTGTGCTTATTGTGTCATCACTAGTTTCATATTGCATCCATTGTTTTTTTTTGGCGTGTGTGCATCTATTGCTGTTTCTTTGTTGGATATTCTACCTTTTGAGTCAAGTTTAATATTTGAAAGATCAAAATGGAACAGTCTGCCTAGTCTTGTGATTGTTGAACAGTCTCTTTGATATTGGCATTGCACATGATGTAATATATATGATACTGTAGGTAGTAGCAGCTGTTGGCTTTAAGGGTATGAGGCTTGAAATTCCACGTGACTTGAATCATCCGGTGACAACTATTATTGAAGCTTGCTGGGTGAAGTATGTTGCTCCTATTCTTACCAAGCTAGTTTGGGATTGTATTGATGTGTTTTATTAAAATTACTTCTACTATTGCAGTGAGCCGTGGAAACGCCCCTCTTTTTCCACTATCATGGATATGTTGAGACCGCTCATATAACTCTTGCAACACAACCAGATTGTACAGACATGCAGTTCCTCACGTAAATGCTGTAGTAAATGTATGATTCCTGCACATCTTTGGCATTCTTTATTAATTATGTTTCTGGGAGGAAGAGCTTGGACTATATCTGGTTTGTGTATCTTGATGTCTGTCTCTTGAATCTAATGAATTTAAGAAATGTTGCCCCTTTGGTATGGTAACAATTAGTCCAATTTTAAGAGTGTCACACTTGAGTTAGTTCGAAGTAGTTGAAATTTGGTGTAAACTTCTCGCCTTGACATTTTCTCCGAGTTGTGATATTCTCGGAACACTGATTGAGCATCTGAGTGTTGTTTCCGTATGTTAAGTTCAGCATTTCCTTTCCCTAGGCGTGACATCTATAGGAGGAAATTTTTATTGAGAGTTCCAGCTTAACTTTTTTTTGTTTTGTTTTTGTTAACCGTGGTGTCCGGGCTAAAACATAAGGGTTCCTCTCAAGGTTCGTCTATGGAGCGTGGGTCAATGCCTAAGATCAGACCAAAGTGGATGGACAACATGTGAATATTCCTGTACTAACTTGCGCGCACCTCAACTAATAGGTATATGTAACTTTATTTACCAAGGATAGGACGGGCAGATCAGAAGAAATCACCTAGTGTTTTTGTCTCTGATGGGATTTGAACTTGAGACATCATGGTTTTCACCCACTTCGTTAGCCATTAGGCCACACTCTTGGGTGCAAAGTTCCGGCCTAACGTTCCACTCTATCCAACTGCAATTTGCACTTTATTTTACAGTAGATGGATTTGTTACATGCTTCTAGGCATGTCATGTAGACTTTGTACAACTTCTTGCTGTTAATGACATGCTAAGTTCTGATCTCTACTTATATGCTTTGTTTGCAGGCTTGTATTCTGTACATATTAGTTCTAACTTCTGACTCCCTGTGGAGGATACCAATTCTTTTCGCGATTCAAGCAACTGTCTTTGCCTAACAGAAGAAACATTTGCACTTGGTATTTGGCTTAGTGATGCTGTTGATGCTAGCAATCATGGGTTTCTGCATCTGTCCAGGATTGTTTAGTATATACAAGAACTATAATAGGACGTTGTAATATATACGTAAATAATATTCTCTTCAGCGGCGAAATAAGCTAGCAGTCTTTTCCCATTGATGATCACAATTAACAATTTTTGGTGGCCCTAAAGACGCCATCTACGTACGAAACCTATTCAAATGTAATTGTATTTGATCTTAATTCGTATTCGTTGAAAAATAGAGGAAGATCGAATTGCTGATGAACCAAGAAGAGGAGCAAACAAGAAGCAAATGAGATCAATTTATATATTTAAAATAATCATTCTATAGTCTATATATTTTAGATATATAAAATGAAATTTTGATTTTTTACACGTTATTCTTCAAGCCTTTAGAATCATTAACCCTTTATTATTTTATATATTTTTGACATAATCATTCCGTTAAAATAGTTAACTTTTGTTGACTTCAAGTACGAAGATCATACCCTTCAAATATATTAAAGGTTAAGGGTGTGTTTGGTATGAAGGAAAATCATTTTTCTTATGTTTGGTTGGGTTAAATGTTTTGGAAAATGTTTTCCAAATCAACTCATTTTTCTCAAATTTAAGGAAAACATTTTCGAAAACTCTCTTCCAACTTCAAATTACAATTTTTTTTTGTTGAAAAATCAATTTATTTTGTCCCTACCTTCAAACTAGCCTTCCAACCAACCCCAAAAATAAAATAAAATTTAAAGCTTGTTTTTAAATTCAATTTTTTTACCCACCCTCACCCTCACCCCCTCCCAAATTACAATTACTTTTTGTTGAAAAAATCAATTTATTTTGTCTCTACTCTCAAACCAGCCTCCCCCAAAAAATAATAATTTAAAACTTGTTTTTAAATTCAATTTTTTTACCC